ACACACACACACACACACACACACACACACACACACACACACACACACACACACACACACACACACACACACACACACACACACACACACGCGCGGACAAACCGAGAGAGCTTTAAAACAGTGTGTGAGCAATCACAATCAGCAGGATATTTTTGGGTTGTTATCAGTACGACACTCAACTTCCTGATAGAGACACTCAGCTAGGAAGTGGTTTTGTTCCCCATCATATTGTCCATGTTAGTGCTACACAGGTCATAAATATTAAACCTCCTGATATTGTCAAATGTACTCTTAGAGTTAGGCTTTGATGTTATTTTAGCCACATGCTAAACTGGCAACTTTTCAGAAAAAGATTCTCTGGCTTCCAGTAAATCTTTGAACTAATTTTAAAAGCTTTGAGAGGTCAGACTCCCGCTGATATCCCAGATCCACTGAGACCTCGTTCCAACAGTTGACCTCTCCCACCATCTGATCAGAGCCTTTTAACTCTTCTACTCTTTTGAGCTTCTTGCACTTAAATTTTCTTCAGGACTTCAGGTAAAAACTTATTAAAGGTCACATGTTTCTTAAATGCTACCTTTTGGGATTTTCAAGTCAGTAGATTATGAAAGCTATTGTTAAAAGGATTAATACATATAAACTTAAGTCCGGTACCTTATAGACATGGATTGGCATGACTATTGCGATGTATATCAGGTCCCCGAGGGCGAGGCTGGCTATGAGAGCGTTGGGTCCATTCCTCATGCTTTTGTTTTGGGAGATAATCCTCAGCAGGGTGGCGTTGCCAATGATTCCCACAATAAAGATCAAACAGGAAAGCACGACATTGATGTACCTGAAGGTTGCTTTCATTTTCACATTGACTGAGCACCTAACCACCGTAGATGTATTGGTGGACGGTTGTTGTTCTTTGTGTTGCTTCAGCTTTTGGAAGTGTTGCTTTCCGTGACCACTCTTCTTCTCATTATTTTGCAAATGATGCGAGCCTGGGTCTAGAGGTTGGTCAGTGCTGCGGAAGCCTGGCAGATCAGACATCACCAGATTTGAGAAAGATGGCTCTGATGTGGGGTTATGTTGGCAGACAGCTGGATCAATAAATGACAAACACCAGACAATCAGCAGCAGGATGAACCCAAAGGGCATGGAGGAAATTCTGTGTCCCATCCTGGAACCCTTCAAAGAATCTGCTGCTGCGACTCCAAAAATTCTTATGGACTGCTACTTCTAAACCACTTCCCAAATTTAGAGAAAAATCTGGAGGTAGTAGTGTTTCTAAAACTTTCTGTAGCTTCAAAACTGATTCCAGAAGATCCCTGTTTGGCTGCTCAGATTCAGAAACTTGTTCAAAAGTCCTGAATTCTGGGACTCCAGAATCTTTGTTGCTCTTTGTGAAGCTGGGCTGAAAGGGGACGTGAAAGTGATCGTGGTCCTCAGATTAATCTGCTGTTTTTGGTCTGTGGAGAGGGTAGAATGAAAGTGACAGGTGATTGGTTAGTAAAGGCCACTTTTGAGGATTTTAGTTGTATATTTAAAGATATTAATCCTATAAGATGTTAATATTTGGCTAGATATTTCTACATTGAGATAATTCACAGGGCTTGCAGAGGTAATCTCCAAGGAGCAACCTCCAGGACTGGAAAATGAAGCCTGTGAAGTTGCAAATTCCAGTTCTTCTGATGTCCTCTTGAGGCTGACTTCAGCAGTGAGTAAAGCCCCATAGACTCCCATGGTAAAATGTTTTACAGCAACTTTACAGCATTACATTTTTTTAATAACTCACCTATCTGGATACTGGAGTAAGGAGCTGACTAAAGTCTGCTGCACTCAAAAAAGGAAATTGGTGGTTTTTACATTTACAAAAATGCAACTTTTAATTTGTACAAAATAATTTAATGTTTATGGTGAACCTAATTAAATCATGTAGTATCTGTATGAAATTCAACAACTTAATTTATTCCTGTTGAGATGACAGGATGCAGTCTAGTATGAGTGGTTAGTTGCCTGGGCTCATGAAATTCACAAGATCACACAAAATTTCAAACCGCAGGGAAAACACTGGAGTTATAAACGCAGACAACTACACACACCACGTATTGAACTTTATTGTTTGAGAATGTACTTCTTGACACTTTATCTGGTTTTACTTGTTTGGGCCACCTCAGATCAGACTGGGCTCAGTGAACTCTCACTTTACTCCTAAACCACAGACATAACAGAGACGTGTTTGAAGGACAGAACAGTCAGCTGGTGTCAATAAGGCATGAAAAAATTAAAGACAGATCGGAGGTGTGAACTCGTCAGAATGCACTGCTGGCTCACAATTCAAATTTACGTCTGTATAAATGTATGAAATATGAAAAGAAGTTTAAAAATCTCACCTGTTTGAGTTTTTCTGTCTTTGTCTGTCACTTCCTCTTAAAATAAATCCTTCCAAAGTCAACGAAGAAGAAGAAGAAGATTAGTTCCTTCTGCTCAGTCCAGACTAAACTGACTAAAATCAAACTGAGTTCAGTTTTCACTTCCTCGCTCCCTCTTTATCTCTCTCTCACTCTGATTGCTGTAAATGCTCGGGCGTCCCCCTCCTCCCTCCCTCCTTCCTTCCTTCTCGTCTCCCTTTTCACTTGCCGTCCTCCTCCCCTCCTCTCTTCTTTTCAGGTCTCAGTGGAACATCTCATAAAGAAGACACGAAGTCTTTTACCGTCAGTGAGCGTAACTGAAACCGAGCCAGATTTCCCACTTGAGAGCTTGTTGATAAAACAATGTTGTGGAAATTGAAGCTGTAAAAATTTACGACTGCGTCACGAGTGTTTGAACACGAGCGATTCCAGACTCCAGAGTCGGTTTATTACTGTTACAGCGTTAATCCCTGAACTCGTTTTACTGACTGATTCAAACAGTAATTCAACAAAGCTCCACTCCAGCCCCAGTCTTCACAGCCATCACAGGAACGTGCTGAAAACATATCAGGACAGTTTACAGAGTTTTTTATTTTTATGAGTGAGAAACACAAAGTAAACTGTGTTTAACTCAAAGCTTGAACATTCATGGTGGTCACAAATTAATTAACTGATTTATTAAATGGAAATTATTCAGCTCAGTGCTCAGACTGCACACGTGAATTTAGAAGAAAGCGGTGCAGCTGTCCTGGATTTGAACCTTCCCTGCGCCTTTGTTCCCATTGTTTCCACCTACAGTTATAAATACAGATAGACCAGAAAATTGCTACACAAATGCCCAAATGAATCAACACATGCCTAATTCTGCACCTTACAAAACTGTCACCAAAAGTTCAAACCTGGTTTCTGTAAGGCACCAATCAGGGTGACCATGGATCTCTACTGACGTCCAGACATGATAAGCACACAGCTGAAATATTATTAACCGAGGAAACACTCAGTGGATAAAAGAGTTCCTGTTTATGATTTTAATAAAAGTGGAATAGGTTTTTTAATCAGGAAGTACCATTAATCTCAAATCTCTTTCACAAGGGAGACCTGGCCAAAGTGATTGCTATAAACCAAAGATCCAATAAATAAAGCACAAAATAGAAGAATTTATGTATTTAAAAGGGACAGTGCTGTTTAACATAGTCCAGCACATAAGTTTATAGCTATTGCTAATTATCAGTTGCTATCTACAACATAATATACAAACAAACAGCACCGTAGTCTCTCAAGCACCAATCCGTCTGTCGATCTCCTGAGATAATTACAGAAAAAAGTCAATTTCTTGTGACAGCCTTCTAAACATCTGGTCATGTTTATTTTTTAAGGTGGATTTTTCTTCTTCTTTTAGCTGCTCCCTTTGTAGGTCTCCACCGCAGATCATCTGCCTCCATCCCTGTCACACCAACCCTCCGTGTGTCCTTGTTCACTACATCCATGAACCTTTGTGGTGTTCCTCTTTTCAGCTCTAACAGCTTCCTGTCTAGTTGTCAGTGCCGCCACCACCAACCCAAACATCACAGCAGGTCTCACTACCATCTTGTAAAGCTTCCCTTTCACTCTTGCTCCTATCCTTCTGCTACAAATCACCCCTGACACTCATCTCCACCCACTCCACCCACTACCTGCACGCTCTTCTCCACCTCTCATGTGCACATAGTGGGTGGACGCAGGTATTTTAACTCATCGACCTTCACTGCCTCTGCTCCTTGCATGTTCATGTTTCCACCTGTCTTCCCCTCATTCACACACATGTATTCTGTTTTTCTTCCACTGCCTTTCAATCTTCTTTGTGCACTGGAAAGAAGAATGAAAGGCAGAACTCCTCCACTGCTGCAGGCTCTTTTTGCACCTCCTCCCAGCTTTCACTACAGATTAGAGTGTTATATGCAAACATAGTCTTTTCCTTTTCCTTTGTCCTTCGCCCAACAGCAGCACAGATTCCACTGATATTCCACTGATACCCTGTTGGCCAGCAGGATCAGAGACTGGGCCCGGATCAATCCAGTATGAATCTTGCCCATTCTTGATCATCCACCTGTTTGAAATCTAACGCTGACACAGGGTGTGCACATGAGAATTTTAGTCTACCTCTTTGAGTCAATAATGTGTTCCCCAGCTTCCAATAAAAAAGGACTTTTTAAACTACATAAAGGCTTTTGAGATCTCATCGCACTAAAAGCAACAAGTAATGTCTTTTCAAGGCAGTGTATCATTTGTTGTTGTTTACAGTTTTTGGAGTGCCTAGAGAAAAGTGATAATACCTGGCTTAAAAAAACGTTTCTCGCTGTTTACCGTTATACTGTCATTATGTTCAGCAATAACAGGAAATGAGAAAAAGCTCTGGATCTCCTGTGACCATGGAAACGTTTAAACATCTGGCAGAAGCACACAGCCCGTGTTATTCCTGACTGAAACATGTTTGTGGGAGCATGCATGGTTAAACATCTGTGACACATGTGTGTCAGTCTTCCAGTTATCTGTCTGTCTTTTTTTGTCTCTGTATGAGTTTGATTTGGCTCCGCTCAGCGTGACCTTTGACCTCAGAAAGTTGATGTCGGGGCTAAGTGTGCCTTTACGAGAAGTCCGTGTTATCTGAGTCCCAGCGAGTCGGTGGAGATATGCAGCCCAGTGTGTGTGCGTGTGTTTTGTTTATTTGTGACAGTAAACTCAGAGATAAACACATCAAAGCTCTACGTGACTCGAAGCATGCAGCCGGATAATAACTCTTTTTCTCTGGCACAAATACACACATATTACTGCCTGGCTCAAAGCCCAGGGAAGGAGCTGGTAGACCTGTGACCTACATCAGAGGATGGCCCTCTCCTTTATTCTCTGCATGCAGCACAGAAGGACATGTTTGTGTCCACAAGATTATTATCATAGGGAGACATTAATAAACCCTGAGACATTACACACTCACACATATATTGTATATATATATATATAAACTATATATAATGTATATATATATATATAAATATATATATATAAAAATATATATATATATAATATATATATAATATTATATATATAAAATATATTATATAATATATATATATATATACAGTTCTTGGCTTTCGGTTTTGCACCCACGCGTGCAGCTTCTCTGCTGCACTCCTACACACTCTGCTGCGGCTTCACTAAATCAACAGGGAAGAGAGAGAGCTCGTTAATAAAACACCACATACCTGTACCATGAACCTGACTGGCACTGCCCCTTGAGCACTGCACAGCTGAGCCAGGGACCACACCTTCACCACAATATATATTTATTTTAATTGTCTGTTGACCCACATTCAGGTATTTGTACTTTACATTCTGAGACAGCATTTGCAGGAAAATATCTGAAAAATTATTAAAAAAATATTAAAGCTAAAAACCTAAAAATTTCACTGCTCATTCTTATAATCAAAATGGGAATTAAAACCCATTGTAAAGGAAAAGCAGTGCCAATTTTGCAAATATACAAATGTTTTTTAAAAACTGTTGATTAATTTTCACTAAAATATCCTTTTTAAATTCGAATTGAATTGAACACGTATGACAAGCTAACACAAACAGAGGCTCCATGTGGTGCTTGAATTAAAGCTCAGAAAATACCTTTTTACGTATGATTACTTTTAAATTAGAAAATTGATCCAATACTATCAATACCAACTTTGGTATCAATAGTATTGATATTTGGCTTTGGTACTTTCTTTGCCTCCTTTGTTCTGTTTCAACGCCTGTGTTCAGTTAGCCTCTTCAGTATCTACAGCTGTTCATATCTCAGACATTACTTCTTTTTTTTTTTACTGCTCTTTCTTCCCTGATGTTCTTGGTCAGTGTTGGAGTTTCTCATGTGTGGGTCTTTCCCTGCCTTTCTTACCCCTGTCCACATTAAAGACTGGATTTTGCAGTGTAAGCATTTGCAGCCCTTATAACAACATTAGCGTTTATCTTTTGGCTTTTGGCCAACTTGACTCATCCAAGTCCATCCACTCTCACTCAGCTCTGTTTATGCTCTTCAAATAAATCCTGAGAGTCGCTAAAACAATTTCCACTGTATTCCCCAAACATGGGCGCGCACGTGTGTGTGTGTGTGTGTGTGTGTGTGTGTGTGTGTGTGTGTGTGTGTGTGTGTGTGTGTGTGTGTGTGTGTCGGGTGGGGGAAACCCCACAAAGCAAACCTGTCCTATGTTGGTAATAATTTTACCAATTAAACTAATGGCTGGGATGTTCAATCAATCTATAACTTCATCTAATGAATCAGATTAATATTGATCATGAAATCGTATTTGGTTTTCACGGGTCCATATTTTCATATCAACTTTAATAACAGGAAATTACTAAGGCATGTTCGTTCTCTCTTTTTTGCCATATTCTTCAAGTAACCTATATTTAACAACAACATAATAAAAGGGCAAATGCTGTTTTTGGTGTGCAATATTTTTAGAGCAACCCTTTGAAAAAATTCTGGAGGTGCCCCTGTCCCCAGATTGTGTACTTTTAATATTTTTATACTGTTGTTTTTTACGAGCGTGCCCTTTTAGAAGAAGTACTCAAAAAGCCAGCATAGTCAGGCAGCAATGAGTAGCGTGGATTTGTGCCTCACTGTGTGAAATCAGTGACCCCTCTGTCGGAGATAACCTGCGAGGTAATGTGCTGCTCTTATCACAGTAAACTGCACCCATGAGGAGCAAGGAGCTTGACAGGCCACATGCCAAGACTAATTTTATAAATGTAATCAGTTTTATGGCGCGGCTTAACTGCAGAGATGAAAAAGATGTGCTGTGTCTGTGAACAACAAATGCTTTTCCAGCAGAAGCAGAAGCATGTACAGGACCACCAGGACCGAGTGCTGCACTTTATCTTCAGTGAGCGCAGGTTTCGTTCTCACTTTCGTCTTGAAGTGCCGCTGATAAAAAGATCAATTACACTCGCAGCTAATTAGAGCGACGAGAACAAACAAGTTCATTTAAACAAGCGAATCAAGCCCACTGAGACAGACAGGAAACAGCCTCTACGTCCCCTCAGCTGCTGATGATTTCCACCCTGAACGTGAAACTTTATTATAAAGCTCTGAAGAACCGCAAAGAACACGCAGTGGCACACTATTTCCATCCAGCTGTGGTGAGGCTGAATGGAAAAGTCTCACTGCGGGAACCCGAACATCTGATGTGTGCAGAGTGCAAACAGGGAAAGAAGCAGATGAATCGTGAGGAGGAGAGGATTTAATGCAGTGTTAATAAGAAAAATTTGTGTATCTTTTTGCAATGGCTCCTTTAAAAGCTTTACTCAACCCCCGCTGACTCCACTGCTGCAGTTTTACTGCGTCTTTTTGCTCTGTCAGCGCCCACACTCAAAATCATTCTTGGCTTTTGTTGTTTTATCCGGACATTTTTGTGACTGGCTGCGGTTTAAAACTCTGTCTGCAAGATTTCTGCAACCATTTGTGCTCACGTGCAATAACTAAACTGATTTATGAAGAACAAATTAATGAAAAATAAATTTAATGAAATGAATGAACCCCTCTCTGCTGCATCCTCTGGTGTGTAATGTTACTATTTACAAGCTCTTCATGAACCTCTGTCATATGCAGGTCTTACAAATTACTGATAAAACTGCTAATAACTGATATATAACTAATATTTTTTTTTTAAAAAGTTGTTGTTAGTTGTTCCTAGGACTGCGCTCTGGACAGAGATCTTGAATGTCGTTCCTGGGATCTGCCGGAGCCGCTATCGTTTTTTAAAAGTGCTTTATAAATAAAATTGACTTATTATAATATATTAAATATTTGGAAAGATTTTGATCAGAATTGTTTTTTAAAGTCAGTGAAGCTTCTTAAAAATTAAGCACTCTCTGAGATAAAGCTGTAAATTTACAGGGAAAATACTGTCAGACTTTATTCCTCTTCATTCTGGGATTAATGCAAAAGAAGAAAAGAAACTTACCTGTTAGAAGAGAAAGAAAAGAAAAAAACTGGACTTTATGAAGTTTTTGTTAAGCAGTTTATACAAGATACACATGAAGTCACCACGAAGACAATAATAACAAACCCATGGAATAAATAAAATTAATATACACACAAAAACATGATTGTTTTTAATGGGACCACCTGACCGGAAGCAGTTCAGCTCGTTGCTCTGGTCGACTTGGTTCGGTGTTGTCATAGTGACGAAGTTGAGTGTGCTGGCAGCGTGGAAAGTTTTTCTCTAATAAAACTGGCGGTGAGTTCGTGTTTCTGCGCTTCTTTCTCCGTGTGTTACATTTAAAATCTTAGCAG